GATTTCAAAGATTTTTGAAAACTTTCTTTTCAGGAAATAGAAAAAATATTGGAAAATCACTTAAGCTGCTTGGTGCAAAAATGTCAAAGGTGCAAGTTTTAGGAAAAGGTGTACCATGCAAGATGTTTTAAATTCATCATCAAAAACCTTCGAACACAGAGTAGATGAAAAAGTGCTATCCACACCACAGTACTAACTGAAAAATACAAGTTCCCCACCACTGGCTTTTAATGTTTAAAAGAACTCGTGCAGCTTTCATTTGAATTTAGAGATACAGATCAAAACAAAAAAGTTGAAAGAAATACAAAGTACAAAGGGTATTCTTAAGTAGCTCCTTTTGTGGAGAAGGTTGTAAGTCTGAAGACCAGTCTGAACTGTGTGAAGGTGCCTTAGTTGCCTTAGTCCCCTTTAGTTCACTGCAATACTAAAGTCCCCACCCAATCGAAAGTACTGTGCACGCTTAACCTGTATTGTACGTAAACATACAATGATGCAGAGAGAGAGCTCTGCATAACTTGCCAGACAGAAATTTAAGGCTCCACAAACAGGCAGGCAGGACAGATCTTACTCTCTGGAGAATTCCTGCCACCGCTGCCCAGGAGTGAGCGCCCAGAGGATTCCTATCTGGACTAGGAAGGAGAGCCCTGTGTGAGTAACCTCTAATAAACTTATCAAACTCGCTACACTAGATTGGTCTGGCTTATTCCTTTGGTCTCTTGGCACCATCTCAGTTCAGAAGGCAGTTTTTCTATACCATCCTGGGATTTTCCTGAAACAAGTACAAAGTAAGTTATAGCTATTTTTCTTAGACTCATCTATTCTATGGTTTTTCCTGAAGAATATCCTGCAAGACTGCTTCTGATCTACAATTATTTTTCTGCCCTTCTGTTAAAGCATTGTTTTATGATATTAATTCATTTGAAAACTGACAAGTAATATAATTTAGGGTACTTTTTAATCTTGTTAAAAGTTCATTCTATTTTCAGTAAATTATAAAACTATTTTAACAGTCAGCTATCCAAATCAAGGGAGGAGCATGAAAAATCAATTATCAGGAGCCAGGTGCAGTGGCACGTACCTGTAGTCCTAGCTACTCAGGAGGCTGAGGCAGAAGGATCACTTGAGCCCTAGGAGTTCCAATCTAGCCTAGGCAATATAGCGAGACCCTGTCTCTTAAAAAAAATAACTACCAAAGCTAACCAGTATTTACTACTTCTAATATGTTTGTTTTATCCCCCTTCTTTTTTAAAATTCATTTTTCATTACAATATTTTGTTGCCTATGTGAAGTTTTCTCTGTGTAGGTTAACAGAATTCTTTGAACTATATCTCTATACCCTACATGGCACCAGTTCAATGCAATGAAGATCCAGCAAACTGAGCTGGTAAGAATAGGGAAATAGTACAATAAAACTAAGGCACACCTTGAAAAGAATATTAAAATTCTTTTTACTTGGAACACTACACATGATTTAAGAGCTAAAACAGGTATGGTTTGCCCATTAGAAGTCCTTTTCTTTTATTGTTTTCAATTAAATTCCACATGATCACAGTTCTGTGAATCTGACCTGCACTTTCACATCTTTGTGCCTTTGTTTGGGAGGTCGACCCCTCCGCGTCCCCAAACGTGGAATTCTCCTCACTTTCCAAAGCTCAGTTCAAAGGAAGCTCTCATAGCCTTGCCCTGCTCCACCTTGCATTATTGGAAGTTGCACCCATGTTGTAAACTCTTTATTTACCCTGAGTTTTACAAACTTGTACATCTTTCCTATCGTAGCACCTGTCACAATGCCTTATGCATAGGAGGCATTCAAGAAATTAAAAAAAAAAAAATCAAGTTAAACTCATTTGCCACAAAATATGATCAAATGAGGTTAAAAATATTAAAATTGCCACAAATAATCAAGATATTGGCCAAGCAAATACCCAAGAACAACTCTGGAACACTTTTACCAGATCCTGCTCCCCTACAGGTCCAGAGCTACGTCTGTGTCATGGAAGCCCTGGCTCCTGGCTGCCTCACTGTGACGGAGCCCTCAGCTTCCTGGAGGAGGGAGGGCTGTGCCATTGGCAGCTCCCTAAAAGCAGCTCTAGACTCAGGGGCCTCTCCAGGGACACACTTGCCTTCATCACAGGAAGGGCAACCACCACAGGGCTTAAGAACAGCAAAATGAGTCCCATCAGAACCCACTGGTATCTCCCAACAAGGACAAGTTCAACATAGGAAGCTGGTTCGTGCCTCCTCTAGTGTAGGGCTAGCTAGCAAGTTCTTTTTCCCTGAGCTTTCCCTGTCAATAACTTAAAAACACAAACTTTTTCCCAAATGGGAGGGGAGTTGGCAAGGAAAGGAGGGAATTAAGTTGACAACAATCTTTTGGCAGTTTTCCTACTATAACTTCTCACTGCTGCTTAAAAGGGAAGAAAAAAAGGCCTCCAATGTCTGCCACTGCTTTTTGAAAAACCTAAACTCTTCTGGGGTGGTCTGTTGCCATAATCTCACACCTCAAAACTGATGCTTAAGTCCCTTCATGCCCCGCCCTGCTACATCCTCATAGAAATAGCAGAGAAGGGAGTGCTCTCTGCAAGCTTCTCCTTTATCTTCCTTTATGACCAAAATGAACATAAAATCACACTGAAAACAGAAGTCCAGCATCACCAAGAAAATAGCCCCAGGCTCCGAGGTACAGCCCAGATGGCCTGTTCATCTTCATATTTTCTCTATCACTTAAAAGCCCAAAATAAGAAATATCCCTACACGAACTGACAAAGGTATCTGTGAGAAATGCTAGATTTAAAGTTGCCATCCTTCATTAAAAACTACATACTTTCTAAGTATTTTGCTTCTTGCCTGTTCTGTATAAACCGCTGGTATGTGGCACTTGTGTGCACATACACACATACATAGACAGATGATTATTTAACCTACTTTAAGAAAATGTGGTACACAAACATGTGTTCCCAAATTAAAATTTTAAACATGTATTAATGAAAAACAGTCACATTTTAAAAAATCCTATAATGAACTTTTTGGGAGAAAAATTAAATCCTGTGTTACAACTTGAATGTGTTCCCTAAAATTCATGTGTTGGAAACTTAATCCCAAATGCAAAAGTGTTGGGAGGTGGGACCTTTAAGGGGTAATTAGGATTCATTTCATTACTGAGGGAGTGGTTTTGTTATAAAAGTGAGTTTAGGCCCCCTCTTACTTTCTCATGGTCTCTCGCCCTTCCACCTTCCAACATGGTATGATACAGCAAAAAGGCCCTCTTCAGATGCTTTCCCCTTGATCTTGGACTCCCCGGACTCCAGCATTATAAGAAACAAATCTCTCTTCTTTAAAAACCACCCAGTCTGTGGTATTCTGTTACAGCAGCACAAAACAGATTAAAACACGCACTTACCAATAAATGACTCCATGACAACATACATTAAAAAAATGTCTTAAAAATATAGGACTTTGGGAGTAGAAAGTATCTTAGAAACATATTTGTCTAAAGCAAAGAACACAATATTGTGAAAAGCAACCATCCAAAAAGACAGAAAGCCAAAAGCCATGGTCCCTGGGATGACTGAATCCACAGGGCTGAGCAATACCTATTCAAATGGTGAGACAACTCGAGGGTGCGGTATCCTATCTGCCTCCCAGGGAAACTACCCCAAAGGATATTATGAAACAAATGTAGATACAAACATGAATTCAAGTGAAAGTAATTAAGATGCTGAAGTTTACTATTTGAAAAGAACAAGTTCCTAACAAAATGAATACATTATCTCAAGTGTTCTATAATGTGTTTTAGGGTAGTTAACACCACAGGAAAATGCATTTCAAGACCCGGGCTCCCAAAGTATGAAAATCAAACAATAGGAGATCTTGTGTGTGTGTGTGTGTGCGTGTGTGTACACATATACACACACAAACACATTCAGGACTGTATGGATTTCCCAGAGTACTGTGCAATTGAAATAAAAGACTCTACCTTGAGTCCTACAACAATTTCCAGACATCAAGGACTGTAACCCTTCCTTTAAAATATACTGTGCTTCTGAATTGTCTCTGAAGCGTTACTGTTGGCGTGAGTTTTCTCTGTGGTTGTTTTTAACGATTCGGTTGGCTGGCTGCAGGTTTAGGATCCTGCTCTAATTACCTCCTGCACTTACCACCGGCCATGGGTATGAGACACGCGGGGCTCACTTGTTTAACCTGTGGAGCTTTAGAGGGTAGGGAGACCGGTAGAGATCATCTAAAACTTACAACTGAGACCATCAGAAATTCCAGATCTCCCGTCTCTCCTTTTGTCCCTTCGATATTCCGTTTGGTAACCTGACACGTCATCCATAGCATATACTCCTAAGAGTACCTTGGGGAATCCCTCTCCCTGTCTCCATCCGAGCGACATCCCTATCGCAGGCGGGGTTCAACTCCAGGCCCGCGGCGAGCGCCGTCCGGATGGCCCCGGCCCCGCTGGAGGCTTCTCCGCCGGACACCACGGGGCAGAAGCCCGCGGCCGGCCCGCTGTCGCGGGCGGGGAGGGGCGCCGCGCCCGACCACACTCCGGACGGCCAGCACCCACGGCCGAGGGGGCGTGAGGAAGGACTCGGTCTGAGTCTGAAGAGCCTTAAGAGTTCAAGCGCAGACACCCGAGGGGGTGTCCCCGGGAACTCCCACGCTCCCGACATCCGTCCGCCTCCTCTCCCGCCCACCAGCCCCGGCAGAGGGCGGCCGGTTGCCGGATCGGGCCGCGGTGTCGCCGCCGCCGGCCCGGCCCGCCTAGCAGAGCGTGAACGGCGCGGCTCGTCCTCCGCGGGGCCGTGAAGGCCGCCGGCCGCCCCCGCACGCCCGGCCGCTTGGCCCCGCCACCTGAGGCACCGGGTCCCCGGCGGGTGGCCGCGGGCGTCCGGCGCGTCCCCGAGCGCGCGCCTGCCGCGGCCCCGCGCGAGTTGCACTAACTTTCCGGGGCGGGGGAGGGGCGGGCGCCGCGGGCCCGGCGGGCCCGGCCTTACCTGTGCTCAAGTTGTCGTTGATTTTCAAGGGCACCCGCAGGATGTAGACCAGGAAGAGCACGATGAAGAACCACACGGTCCAGAGATACGTCCAAGACCAAACTATACAGGACTTGAGCTGCTCCAGAAAGCCCGTGGCCGCTTCAGCCATTTTTCAGCGCTGCTCTCTGCTGCCGCGGCTCTCGGTGTCTGCCGGGATGATTCACCGGCCCTGAGGCGCCGCTCGCGCCGCCGCCGCCGCCGCCGCGGCCCGGGCGCCCCCGGAGCCCGCCAGCCGCCGGGGACGCGGGCGCGGCGGGAAATCGCGCGGGCCGCGGCGCGCCGGCTTTTCCTCCTCCAGCCGTGTTGCTAACTCTCTGAAGGCCCCTACAAGTGGCTTTCGTGGAGCGATCACGTGGCTCCTGTCCCCTACCGTTCTGATGCCATTTATATTTATTATGCTACTAGTTAGAAAGGCCAAGTGGCGTTGAAGGAAACTCCCGACGAAATTGTAACTCACGTATATTGAGCGTTTACTATATGCCAGGCTCTGGTCCACGCTGTGTCATCTCTTTTAGTCCCTACAACAGTCCCCACTATTATCGTCATTGGATAGATTGGGAAACTGAGGCACACAGCAGTTGCATAGTTTTCCTTAAGGTTGATCCAAAATCTAATTGTAGTTATGGATTCCAGGCCCTTAAAGAGGTCTTAAACCCAACACTCTGCTCAGTTCTCTGAGGATGCAGCCTCAGAGGCATGAATAAACCTTGGCAGCTAGAAGAAGGTAGGAGGTGTGCTCCTGTCACCAGTCTGTAGGCCTGAAGACAAATCACTCTATTAAGCAAGATTTGGGTTGCAGATATTATTTACTTTTGTTCCCTCTCCTTGGAAGCAGCACAGAGGTTTTCGAAAGAGATCTTGACAAGGTAAATGTTTATCCTCCAATTTTTTTGGTGGTCACAGTTCAAACTACTCTCAGCCTGTTTTTAGTATAAACAATTCTCTGGGATAATTCTGGCTTATTCTGAACTGGCTGCTTTAAACAAAAAGTAAACTTTAAAACTTTTTTTTTCTTGTGTTGAGTAAAATGGATTTATTATGAAATGTTTCATCAAATAAAATGTTCAAGTCTGTTTCTGTCCCTAAATGACTTGATGTACAATGTATTAAATGGTAATGAAGCAATTGCAGGTTTTCCAATCTACAGCTAAAACATTTTTAGAATTCTGAGCATAAAGCAGAATATTTTATTACAGATTTTGTTTTGCTTACTTGTAGTTTCCTCCACAATAAAATAAGCTCTTTAACTTTTTACATGTAGGACCTATTTATGGCATACATTACAGAACTGTTCTTTCATTTTTACTAATTCTAGCTTCACTCTTAGCTACTGTTTCCTTCAACAGGGAGATACAGGCCAGGATAAGAGAAATTGGCACACACATACTTTTTCAATAGTTATTTATGGCAGCACACTACCAAATGATTTTTATATCTAACGATGATGCTCCAAGTCTCAGTAGAATAAGACAACATGAATATATGAACCACCTATTCTATGTGATGATTAGGTAACCCACTTGATTTTCTGCAATTCACTGAATTAGGATATTGTCTACGTAATTTAAGTGGACGCCCGGGACCTAGCTTTTTGCTGTCAGTGAAACTCAGTGAATGGACATGGATGTGACTCAGGTGAGCCACAATTTTCTGATTATCTCCTAGACGCTCCTGGAGGATCAGCCCTATATCACTTACCATTGCCACTCCCTGGTGTGTAGCCAGGGATGGGGTAGGGGTTGGAGACATGTCTTTATGTTTCAACACAGATGTGAGCAGCATGATCTCTTACAAACTGTGACTGCTTCAGTATGGCTAGAGTGCAGGCTCTGTGCAGAGGGGTGAGGAGAGAGACAAAGCTGAAGAGATGGGCCTGAATCTGATTTGAAGGGCCTTGTAGAAACACGATGTTCCTAGTTATTTGGTGTTGCACACACCAGTCCGAATGACCAATCCAGAGACTGATTTGTGTAAGTGGAGATTTAAGAAATATTAAGGAGATGGAATTGACAGGTCTTGCTGACTGATAGGACTGGCAGGGTAATTATAAAAGGTAAAAGGTGGCTCTGGAGTGGGACCATTCATGAGTTAATGACACCCCAGATATTTCTAACCACCTCTTGATCATCTCCCAGTGGAATGGCCCGCAGTCACCCCAAGCTTGTCACAGCCAAAACGGAAGCCATCACTTCCTCACTCCAACCTGCTCCTCTTTCTGGAGTTCCATCAGAGACTGGTCACCACCCTTCCAGCTCCCTAATTCAGAAATCCAAGCATCATTTTACAGAGATCTCTCCCCGTCACACACCTCCTTCCTCTCCACATTCAACTGGGATCAAGATTCGGATCTGCCACTTCTGTCTGTTCCCTGGCCACAGGCTTTAGCGGTGGCCTGACCATCACTCCTGGACAGCAAGGCAGTGTGTTCCCTGCCTCTGGTTTCACCACGCCCCGCCCCCCGCCCCACCACAGCCTTCTTCCACCCTTCTCTGCCAGAGTCACCTTTTAAAGCACAAATCTGATAACATACTCCCTGCCTCAAATTCTTTAAGGCTCCACCCTAACTGCACTCCTATTCCTACCCCAGTGTTTACCTGAAGGATGAAATCTAGATGGTACACAGGCCTTTGGCAGGGCACTTCTACCCACCTTCATACCACCAGCATTTTGGCAAACATGCCGTTCTCTTTCACACATTTGGACCTGCTCCACACAACACGCCTATAGTATACTTCTCTGTGCTGCACTGTCCGACATTCTCTTCCTGCCACGACTGCCTGCTACCAGCTTTTCCGGAGATGCACTTGAAATACCACCTCCTTTGTGACACCATCTCCTTCCCGCACCCCAGAGGTCACTGTTTCTTCCCTAAGAGATGCAGCACCAGGAAGCCTATGGTGGGTCATTAAAGCATAGGCTCAGAGCAGACAATGCTGGGCTCTGTTCCCGATCCTGCTGTTCGCTACCTGGGTGCTCTTTGGCAAGTTATTCAGTTTCCCCGCCCTGCACTTTCTCCATCTGTGCAATGGGTTACACGTACACCTATTACATGAGGTCGTTGTGAAGACTGAGTGAGATTCGTACCAAGAATTCTGGTCAATATCTTTCTTCTCTGTTAGTAAATTGAGGCCTTTAATGTCAAGTAATTTGTTATTGTTGTTAATTTTGTTCCTCCACAATTTTGTCTCATACAAATAGTGTTGTGTTTGGCACATGGTACATGCTCAATAAATACTTGCTGAGTGTTGCATAAAGGAATGAAAAATCAATTACATGAAAAGAAATTCCAAATCGTACATTTTACAAACACAGACACAAACAGTACTGTTACTGAGGTTTAACTCAAGGGTAAAAATTAAGATTTGGCCTTCCACCACATGGTGAGCTTCCTTGAAAGTTTGTTGCAGAAATTGTAACCACCTTTGGATTGGATAATACGTTAAATGACCATTAACTTATGGGAATTGTGTAAAAACAGTATGCTCCTAAATTCTTCTTAAATTGGCATATGTATTTTGTTAAAATGTGTGTACCTTAGTCTGATAAAATATCTGAGCTGAATAAGAAACCAACATATTAGAGAACAACTTTAAATTTCTTTAAAAGTATTTCTCTTTTGTTTCTTGTTCTGTAAGTACATGTGGAAGTTTATACGCTTAAATTGGCTGTCATAGTCTTTAGTTTTATACTTTGTTATAAATTTAAGAATCTATTTTTGTAAATGATTTTCAGAGTTCATCTGAGACTTAAACACAAGAAATAACTGTTCTGACTTTTCGGTTTGTGTTTAAAAAAATCTTACCCTTGTTCACTGGTTGGGTTTATGAATTAGTCAATATCCTATGTTCATTAATAACATCCTACATAACTGGTTATCTTTATTTAGTGACTTACCTAGAACTGAATATATGCAAATCCAACCTAGTTTAGTTTAAAGAACCAATAAGGGCAGAAAAACAGGTTTGGAAAGGAATTTGCCATTTATAACATCTTCAAGCCAACATACCGTCTCATAAAATATTGAAGAGATGGAATTTCTACTATCCATATATAGCTGAAAAGATGATTTAGGTAGCAAATATCTTGGGGACAACTTCCCCAAGATATAATTCTCCATATATAAGGAAGAATGCATTTCCATAATCAATATACACATACATCTTAATCTTACAGTGAAATATTCACAATGACTAGGTTTAGACATTATATGATAAATTATTATCACATTTGCCTTCTATTCTCCCTTTCCTAACACAGATTTCTTAATTTCTATATAAAGCTTTTCACAGATATATCAACACTCAGTGACATTCCTTGCACCTTTGATTTATTTGAAAAGTCAATATTATTTTAATAAGCTAAGCTGATATACAGAATAATTCTGATAGCAAGAATACAAAATAAAATAATCAAGGCCTATACAAAAAATCTGAAGACAACCTAACTCTACCTCCACTCTGAAGACCTACCCCAGCCAATGAAGGATGGTTCCTTTTTTTCTTTTTTTTTTTCCTTATTTTCAAAGAAAAAGAAAAAATAAAATTCTTTGAGAAGAAGTAGAGAAGTGAACACAGCCTTCTCCTTTACACTGCTAAAATATAATCAGGAGAGGAAATCAAAGGAAGATGAATGAGATAAAAAATAAGTAGTAAAAAAATCCGAGAGGTAGCAGAGAGATCAGATGTATTGAACAAGAAGACCAGAAATTAAGTAATTAATTAATTTTTTTCTTTTTTTTTTTTTTGAGACAAGGTCTCACTCTGTCACCCAGAATAGAGTGCAGTGGCTAAAGTGCAGTGGCATTATCATAGCTCACTGCAACCTCCAACTCCTGGGCTCTAGGAGTTGGCCTCCTGCCTCAGCCTCCAGAGTAGCTGGGACTACAGGCATGTGGCACCATCAATTTTTGCATTTTTTGTAGAGACAGGGTCTTGCTCTTGCTCAGGCTAGTCTGGAACTCTCGGCATCAAGCAATCCTCCCGCCTTGGCCTCCCAAAGTGCTAGGATTATAGGCGTGAGCCACCACACATGGCCCAGAAATTTATTTTAATGAACCCTCTAAAGTTCTGTCTGGTCTCTTGCTTCTTAGGCTAACTAATCACCAAAGGTAACAATATTACCTTTCTTTACTTACTCTATTTATTCTTTACAATGGCACTCAATCTCTTTACTCTTGGGAAGATAAGGTAAGATGGGTTAGTTTTTCCGTTGTTCTTTAAATAGCGTGGAAATGTAATACTATACTTTTTGTTCAAACCCAAGAGGTTTTTTTTATTGTAGTACTTTTA